CCTCTCTCCCCACCCCAAAAAAAACTTGAATTTGCCGACTACCCTTTGTGGCATTGTTTATTGGTAGCAGGACACTTTGGGATTTGGTTCTTCCAATTTATAATTTTCTCAATTGCCGGATTTCATAATTTCAATCAAGTTCAATCATCGTTTTGTATCCTCTGAGTCCTGATATAGCTCATAAAAACCTCATAGTGAAACACAATAAAAATTAAAGATATAAGATTGAACTTGATGAGAATCCACAAAGTTATAACCGGAGGGATCCGAACAATTCCAGTGGAGTTGCTGAACTATTCACCACCTTATACGAGTAATTATTCAATGCAGTGTTATATCAGGTTATGTTACTATCTATATAATAAAGTATAATATAATTTTAAATTTAAAAAATAAATAAAATGAGTTTTATTATTTACTATTGATTTCGCTTTAAATTTTATTTTGAAGTTAATCTAATGCTAATATTAACATCCCAAATTTAATATGAAAAACAGGTTCTTAATGGTGTGTTTGAAATGACTTTTTAAAAGTACTTTTAGAAATTATTTCTCATAAGTACTTTAAAAAAATAGTATTTGAAATCACTCCACCACTACCCCTAATACCTCCACCCTCACCCCCACTGCTTCACCACCACCACTACCATTGCCACCACCCCCACCCCACACCACTACTATCGTCGCTGCCACTACCTTACCACCACTATAACCACTATCACCACCGCCTATCACTACCACTACCACCCTACCATCATCACTACCACTACCACCACCATCATTTTCACCGCCCCATCACTACCGCTGCTGCACCCTACCATCATCACCATCGCTGTCACACCTTACCAGCACCGCTACTGTTCCACCAGCATTTCTACCATCACCACCCCCATGACCATCACAACTACCACCATCATCACCAACCCACCATTGCCACCCCCACCCCCACCCCATCCTCACTGCCCCACTATCATCATCACCACCTACCACCAATTGCTATCATCGTCGTCCATGGCAACCACCCACCATCATCGTCATTTTATTTTTATATTTATTATTATTACCACCATCATCTCTTTATCACTGTTGCCCACCATCAGCACCCACTACCACCCATTGCCACCACCCATTGTTACTTACCCCACCACACCTACCACCACCAACCACTACAACCTATCATTGCCCACTGTCACTTACCCCTACCACTCTTATCATTACCGTCATTTGCTACCACCTATCACATTGTCGCCTAGAAGCACCCATTGTCGCCCCACCACCACCATCATCACTGCCCACCACCACCGTCGTCGTCCCATCATCACCACTGTCAATCACCACAACTGTCGTTCACCATAACCCACACCCACCACCACCACCGTTGCCACTCATGGTTGTCACTACCATCATTGTCACTGAAAATCTACCATTACCATCACCATTACCACCCACGGCTACTACCACCACCACTATCACTACTCACCCCATTACAATCGGTGCTTAAATTTCTTTATCTTTCTTCTTTGTTTGTAATTTGATTTTGAGTGTGAATACAAATATGTTGATTATTATTTTTTATTACTTTGTCCTTTCAGTAGGGCTGTTAATCAAACTGAGTTTAGAACTGTTAATCAAACTGAACTATTCGAGCTTGACTTGAGTTCGGCTCGTTCAGGCTTGATTCGTTTTTTAAACGAGCTCGAACTTGAACAAGATTTTAGGCTTGTTTAGAAAACAAGCCCTACAAACTCGACTCAAACTCGACAAGCTTGACTTATTTATGTGAAAACACTCAGGCTTGGCTTGGGCCCAACTCGGGTTCGGCTCGTTTAAGCTCAGCTCGTTTCCTAAACGAGCCGAGCTTGATTAATTTTTAAAGCTCGATTAAGAAACAAGCTTTTCAAGCTCGGCTCGAACTTGATTCGAGCTCGTTCGACTAACAGTCCTAACTGAGTTACACGAGGTTGACTTGAGTTTGGCTCGATTTTAGGCTCGATTCATTTTCTAAATGAGTCCAAACTTGAACAAGTTTTTAAGCTCATTTAGAAAACAAATCCTACATGCTTGGGTCAAACTCCGCTCGGGCTCGACTCATTTATGTGTAAATACTTGAACGCGACTTGTTTTTGGCTTGTTTAGGCTTGACTCGTTTCTTAAACGAGCAGAACTTGAACAATTTTTTAAGTTCAATAAAAAAACAAGTTTTTTAAGCTCAGCACGGACTAGTTCGACTAACAACCATAACCTTCAAGCACATAGAATAACTAGTTTAATAATAAAATACAAGTGATAAAGTTTAACATCACTTTATTCTATGTGCGTAGTTATTGTCTTACATGAAAGAAGATTAATTAGTTACTGGATTACATTAAAGAGTAGTTATTGATTTGTGTGAGATCCACTTACTTATTTGCTAAAATATTATTGAATGATAATATCACGTGATAATGCTGACGTGATATTATCGTTACATTGAATATTTTTTTCACTCTTCCATGATGAAATAATATGAGAAAAGAGTAATGCAATAGAGACCTAAAAAATTAATCTAACTTTTTGATCTAATGATGCGATTTTATTATAACCATTGAATTAACACCAAGTTTTAATATTTAATGAAATTTATAATTAATTTAATGATTACAGTGAATTAGTTCAATAAATTAGATTCTGAAAAAGTTTTGATTGTGTGTTGTGTGCAATTTAAATTGAAAAATGCTATTTATACATAATTTGGGTACCTAATTTAGAGATCTAATGATGTGCAATTATTTGATTGATCATGAGTTTCATTTTATATTAAAATTCATAACTAATTTAATAACTATATTAAAATTACATCATTAAATCTCCACGTTATATCGCAAGTCTTATAGCATTGCTTATTTAAATTTCTCCACGCACGCACGCAGAGGTTAGGGAAACAACCGGCAAGGTTGAGGTACGTGAAGTTGGTTACATAATACTACAAGTCTACACGTAGATACTGAACTGGAGACACTTTTATCAAATAGTTCGATAGAATGTCGTTTTAGGGTTAGATGAAAAGGTAGGGCCAATACAAGGGCCCATTTCAGTGAAAATGTCGGCAGCAGCGTGTAATTCCATCACATTTAAATGGGGAAGAGAGAGATCACTTCTTCAAAAATTACAAAGAAACAAAGGAGACAGACAGAGAGACACAGAGAGTAGAAGATCATGGGACACCACTCGTGCTGCAACCAGCAAAAGGTTAAGAGAGGCCTTTGGTCACCTGAGGAAGATGAAAAGCTTATTAGATATATCACTACTCATGGCTATGGCTGTTGGAGTGAAGTTCCTGAGAAAGCTGGTCTCTGGCTCATCTCTCTCTCTCTCTCTCTCTCTCTCTCTCTCACACACACACACACATACATATTTTGACATATTGTTGATATTGGTTTCAGGGCTTCAAAGATGTGGCAAAAGCTGCCGTTTACGATGGATCAACTACCTGAGACCTGATATAAGAAGGGGCAGATTTACACCCGAGGAGGAGAAGTTAATAATCAGCCTTCATGGGGCCGTAGGGAACAGGTTTTAATTAATTACTCCATCCTCTCTCTCTCTCTCTCCCCTACATGTCTGCATTGTCTTCTTCATGTTGTTGCATTTGAAAAAAATACAGAGGCGGCCATTGAAATGCCTCATCTTTGGGAACCATTTGGGTAGTTTTTGGAGATTTAAAAGGCTTTTTTTTTTTGGAGATTTAAAAGATCAACTGGTTTGATATCTACGTCGATGATTGTGTTTTGAAGCAATATCAGTACCATTGACTTCTATTAAATTCTACATATAACAAGTTCTATATAGTGTTTAAGTATACAATTAGTGTGTGTTTGTATATTGTAGCTAGAGGAAATTTCGCTTTCAAAGTAGTTTGTGTAGCAGGCATATCACCTTCATCGTGGAAGACGTCATAACGGCTGTTCCAGAGGTTGATTAGAATACAAGTTTGCAGGAGAAAATGCAGGTCTAGGGCACTATATTGTCACACCATTACCTTACAACTACTATTTGTATGTTGTCTATTTAAATAAAATAAAATTTAGTGTCCACTTCACGTCTTGTCTATTTACATTCTTACGAGCATTAAACCCGTAACAAAATTTCCCTTAATGGAAGATTTCTTTCGAATGACATAATTTTTTTTTTTTTTTGAATACTAAAAGAAAATCGACTTCTCCTATTTCATATTTACCCTTCATGACAGGGTCGTCGTTCGTTCAAGGACCATTAAAATTGTGTGGAATTAACTCAAAATAATTCATATTGTATAAGGAGAGTTACAATAACATCCAATATTATGTTTATTCTATTTGTTATGCCATTTTAACCTCTTAACATGCATGACCGAAATGCAGGTGGGCTCATATAGCAAGTCATTTGCCTGGAAGAACAGACAACGAAATAAAGAACTATTGGAATTCATGGATTAAGAAGAAGATACGAAAGCCTTCATCTTCAGCTCCTCCTCCGACTCTCTCTCCAAGTACAGATCATCATCAACATTTCCCACTGAATTTTTCTGCAAACCAGTTAGATATTTTGAATCAGGACTTGTCATCGAGGCCACTGATTCAGGATAATCTTTTCTCTTCTCCTAGTCCATTATTTATGTTCGACACTGGCTCAATTTCCGGGATCAATGGCGATGGTAGTGGCCGATCAACAGAGCTTTTTCACGAATCGACGGTTCTGAACTCTGAAACATGGCAAATGAACCAACATCAAGTTCAAGCTCTTCCCCTTCCAGTCTCTTTTACAACAAGCATGAATTCGAATATGTTGCCACCATTGATAGAGAACATAGAAAGCATGTTGCCAATGGAAGTGCAATCCTGCAGCTTAAATGAGGAAGGAGAGATATCGTTGGATTGCCTACAGAGACAAGAGTTGAATCAATGGGATGAGACTCAACAATGCTCAAGCTATCTATTTTGGGACCAACCTGAAGGACCACTAGGTGGGGAAGAATTTGTACCAGCTCCATCAAACACGGGGACTATCCTATCCTCTTATCCTTCATCTTTAAAAGACGTTCATTTACAATCATATCATCACTAATCTGACTTTAGACATGTTGAAGATGGTGAACATGCCTTCCCCCTCCACTCCTTCCCTTTTGGTGAATGAACCTGTTTGTTTTTCTTTTTTCTTTTTTCTTTTTCTATTTAATCTTAATCTTTGATTGGTGAGAGAGTGAAATTAGAAGAAATGCAGCAAGCATGCATGCAAGTTTCTTTGTTCATATAAGGAAAGGAAACTCAAGAGTAAGAGAAATAAAGAAAGAGTAGTACAGCCAGTAAAAGTTTTTGATGATTGAGATACTTTTGCTTGTCATGGTGTTGAATAATAGCAATGGCTTTTGTACCTTAAAAGAAGAAAATAATAATAGCTCTGCGTTTGGGCTTTTTAAAGTGACAAAGGCTTGAGATATACATTGATTTCATTGAAATACTTAAATAGAAAAAAAGTATAAAAGGAAACTGATAGCATATATGTTGTGATACTCAGAATGCTGTATTTGGATATGTTACATTGCCAAAATATACTACACTTAGACATGACTATATCTCAAATCTAACGTTGACATAAGTTAGCGCACAATCATAGTATGATTCGATTTCCTACATATAATTAGATCGTGTATGTCTAACAACATTAAAATATGTTGAGATTATGTTATTTTGGAATGTTTCTGATATCATTTGTCAGAAAAACATGTGGTTTAACAGTATCAGACTGGTCTTTCATCTCTTTTTCTTTTTGATCGTTGTGGGTTTTCCACTGTCTCTTCCATCTGTTAAGGACTTGCTGTTTGAGAGCCAACGTCTCAAGAGCTTGTGTCTTGGTCTACAATTTCCTCTATGCTCACCCACACGTTATTCTGTTACATATATAGAAGATCCAATGGCCAATCACTTTATCATCATTGCCTTGCAAAAAAACTTCCATATGAATATCTTGGTTTCGATTATAAAGTTGTAAAGTATTGATTACTTGGAGAAAGGTGACTAGCTAGCCTCATTACTTGTAGAATGGTGACTCGCCAAAGCTTTGGAGTGCACCAATTCACGAACGACATAAGATGATCTTATGGAGGTTGGCAACTTAATGTATTCCTACGAGAGCCTTCCTATCCAACAAAATGAATATGACAGACGTTTTCTGCCCTTTTTGCTGCCAAGAAGCTGAAATAACAACACATTTCTTTTTTATATTGTAAAATTTTAAAAAATCTCAACAACGAAAAGTATAAGCCTTTTTATTTATCATTTGAAATTCAAATTGTATTGTACTTTATTTTACTAATTTTTGCACTCGTGTGTTACAGGTGACCTATTTAATCGTGAGTCATTTTTCATTGTCAATCGTTATTTAAAATTAATAATCACTACCGATCATTTAAAAAATATATCTATAGAAGATATTGCACCTACACAATAAACTATTACTATATTTTCTCCTAGTATGGGAACCCCGAGTTAAAATGTATATAAAATTCTAAAAGAAAAAAAATAATTCTGAGGGAAGACCAGAAATATAGCATACCTAACACTTTGTAATTTGCAACTCGAAGAGGTTTATTTCGAAGAAATGAACTAATTCTAAGCGTTTTCTTTGCCATCGGAAAATGCAAGATACTTGCCATGTCTCTTATTAATACTTGCCTTAGATTTTGCCCAAAACATTGAATGGTGCATTTTAACAAAACCAAAAAACTACGATTGAATAGATATCACTTTAAGAAAACAGATTTTTTTTACCTGTTCACACATCCTGCTTATATCGCATCACGTAGAGAGAGAGAGAGAGAGAGCCAGTAAATTCAGCTCTATGTGTCAATGGCCTGTGAAACAACAGAGGATGTCGAAGGAATGAAATATTTCGAACTGATATATTCACCTCATATGGAAATGGAAGATGAAACAATTCAGTCAAATGACTTAATTCCAGTGACTGCATAGTATTCATATCGACAGAAAGTATAACTCATTTACAGTTAGTAGATGAATGGCAAAAGAGAATTTATAATCAGTTTCATACTATAGGAATACCAAAAGACATTGTGGATATGATTGATTTTATATCAATAATTAGGGATAAAAATAGAATATAAATATTTTTCAAGTATTCTCGTATTTTTAAATAATATAGATATAGACTCGATGATCTCATGCTTAGCTAGGAACAAAGTCATAAAAGGTGCTCTGGCTAGTCAAGCCAGAACTTAGTATTTGTATTTACTTTTCTAGCATTTCCTTTTCCATGTATCTCAATTTCTTCACAGCTAAAAAGAAAGAACTTGATTAGGCCACACTTGGGGAATAATTGTCCACACATGACTTGTTTGTGCCTACCGTATCATTCTAAGTTGGAGCTCTAATTTCCATTACAATTCGTATTTCGTTCTCACCTTTATTTCCTTTTTTAGTTGATGAAAGCCATGGCCTAGGCCTGGTTACTTTCTCCCACAAGGCGTAAAGGCCCAACCTCACTTAAGAGGGTAGATTTTTGGAAAAATTATACTTTAATCCCCTCAATTATGATCATTTTTTTTCTTCACATTATTCTGTCGACTATCATGCATGTTTTTTGTATTGTATTCTTAATTACGAGATTAGTTTCAGATCCCCCAGTTATTAACGTCGTCACAAATTTGACTGAATGCTATTTCATGTTGTCCCTTGAATTGTGTGATTTTTTTTGTACTTTAAATTGATATGTTGACAATTTTTGTTCAAAAGAATAAATGACGTTTGCTTTTGAGTTAGTGTGAAATAATACAAGTAGGTGATGTGTAAAAAATTCAATAGTTCAAGAAACAAAAAAAAAAATCAAGTTCGTAGTTAAGAGAGCTAAAATATAATTTATACTATAATTTGCAAGGAGATTTAGACGGCCATCCAAACAGGTTCCAAAGAAATGTTTAAAAATGTTTTTAAGGTTACGAGAACTTGAATTGGAACTCAACCCCAAGATAGTTGAAGTGGTAATAGAAATGAATATTTAAATTCAAACGTTTTAAATTTGAATCTTGACAATTCCTTGAGATAAGATTATAAAGAATTTATCCCTTATGAATATCTTAATTTTGACATGGATGACTTGTCTTTGGTCGAACTAGAAAAGAGATTAATCGAAATAGATGTAAGTTGACTCGGAGACCCGATACTGTTAAAAAAAGAAAGAAAGAACAATTTGGAACCCCATTTTTGTCCATGATTTTGTCNGAGATTAATCGAAATAGATGTAAGTTGACTCGGAGACCCGATACTGTTAAAAAAAGAAAGAAAGAACAATTTGGAACCCCATTTAACTTGAAATTGTTCAACGATGCTACATTGTTCTTGAATCATTTTCTTTCTAGGATGATAATTGGGGCCTTAGTCTAGCAGTAAAGATTTTCTTTATTGTTTTAAAACAAAATTTAATGGTAAGTTTGAGATTATAACTTTTCTCGACTTTAGAGATGACCTTCTATAATAAAAATGGTTATTTTAAAAAAAACGATTGACTTTCAAAGTTGTTACTAAAAGAATTAAAAATCATAGACGATACAGATTACCATTACTAGAGGATGGTAGGTTTATGTAATGTCTCTTTCGAATTAGAATATAGTGAATTACTTAACAAATTCGTCACCCACTCAAGCACGTAAGCAGACTTGGCGGCAGAACAAGGTACGAGGCATAAATTTTAACTTCTTTCAAGCCCTATTAATTTTGTTTAAATTTAACATTAATACACGTGAGTGAGGTATAGATGATAAGATACCATTTATACTCGCATTGAACTTTGAAATTACTTGTTCAAGATCGGGTCGATCCATGGTTTCCTCCCAGAGTACAGGTGGGCCAAACCCGAACTCAAAACAAAGCCCAACTCCGAATGTTAACCACACAAGCTAGTATAAAACACTCATAAATGTGGATTTTAGGGTTTCTGGAGCAACCGACTACTGTGAGAGAGGCCGCCGGAGATTTTTTTTATAGCCGCTTCCTCCCGCCGCCGTCAATCTCTCACAGAAACCATGATCATTACAGAGAAGAACCGCCGAGAGATCTCCAAGTATCTCTTCCAAGAAGGTGTTTGCTATGCCAAGAAAGACTTCAACTTGGCCAAACACCCAGAAATCGATGTCCCGAACCTTCAGGTAATAAAGCTGATGCAGAGCTTCAAGTCCAAAGAGTACGTTCGTGAGACTTTTGCTTGGATGCATTACTACTGGTATTTAACCAATGATGGCATCGAGTTCCTCAGAACTTACCTCAATTTGCCTTCTGAAATTGTCCCCAATACTTTGAAGAAATCCGCTAGGCCCCCCGGTCGCCCCATGGGTGGTCCACCAGGCGATCGTCCCCGGTAATTCAAAAACACCCATCTATGTATCTGTATTTATATTTTCATATGTCGATTGGTTAATCTTTTTGGGGTTGGGAGGAGGTAGGTTTTATTTTTGCATATTGTGCACGAATATGTTAAACATATATTAACACTTGCTATCATGGAACATTGGATTTGATACTTAAGCTATGATAGTATGGGGAGACATGATTTATTTTTTGGATTGATTGTGTTGTGTATTGGGTTATCTATATATTTGTAGATATGTATTTATATTTTTATATGTTTACTGGGTAATCTTTTTGGGGTTCCGTTGAGGTGGTTTTTTTTTTTGTTTGTTTTGATTGTGTTGTGAAGTGGGTAATGACTGTTATGTTGATAAATGTGTACAGTGGGCCGTCGCGATTTGAAGGAGACAGGCCGAGGTTTGGTGATCGGGATGGATACCGTGGAGGTCTTCGAGGAGGGCCGCTGGGTGAGTTTGGTGACAAAGGTGGAGCTCCTGCTGACTACCAGCCTGCTTTTAGGGTAAATTTATTTCTCCTTTTCGAACTAGAATTCCAATGATTGAGTTTGCTTCCCTTTGATTTTAGGTTCTTAGATGAGGGTTATGAGTTAGCTTTGAGCGAAGGTATTGAATATAAAAACAGGAACTTGCAAATTCAACAGGATTGTTTCATCGATTCACTCATACAGGAAGCACAGTTTGGAGTAACCGATAAACACAATGAAATCTACTGCAGCCGCTTGTGATATCAACTAATTTTTGTTTGAGTAATTGTTAAAGAATCAATGGATGTGCAAGGCTCAATGAACAATTCATAAAGAAAGAGTTAATTGTTTTTTGCGACATTGCATGTTTAAAACTTTGTGCTAACTTGGGTTTTGGAATAGTATTTACACTGTGATTGGACCATCTTGTGGGATACTCTGTTTGACCGTTGCCTTTGTGTACCCATGTTGTGCATTGTGGTGTTTCAACTTCACGTATCCTGAGATATGAAACGGTTGATTTTGAACCATGTTACCTGCACATTGGAGCTTCAACACTAAAATTTGGGTAAGGCACTAGTTTTGATGTACCTAGACAATGAGAAGCTCAAGTGGTAACAGTGATACTCATGATTTTGGAATGAAAGGTAGTAGTCATTACGTTGAATTGTTGTTGCACCTGGTGAGATTTCTGGGTCTCTAGGCACCAACCATTGTAAGAACTATGATTTTGAGTGGGCATTGTATATATTTGAGGCATTATGTTGATGCCAAATATCAATGGATCTGGAGAAATGCACTTGGTGAAGGATTTGTTGTTTAACATGTTCTCCAACCTGCTTTCGTTTGGTTCAAATTCAAGCATGTACTAAATGCAGTATTTCTTTATTTCATCCTTCTATGTTTTTCCACTCAGGTACTCTGCCTTACTGTTATAGACTTAAATTTAGCATCAGTTTGCGTTTTTGTTGACGTGTCCCTCATTTTCCATGAATGATCAGTACTACAGTTTTTTATAAGAAAATTTCCTTTGCAAGATATTTAAATGTCTCACATTTGCTGAAATGATCTCCACCATGCATAGCATGCCCTAAACACTTTTTGCTTTCTCTGCATTCTTGTCCTTTCCTTCATGTTCTTGTTTTGTTTGGATTCTGAAGTTGCAAATTTTATATAGCTGAGGAAATAATCATTGGTTTCAAGTATAAATGGGTTCGTATTGAGAAATTATTGCATATTGTGCACGAATATGTTAAACCTATATTAACACTTGCTATCATGGAACATTGGATTTGATACTTAAGCTATGATAGTATGGGGAGACATGATTTATACAATGTTGGTGGAATGATATATTTCTTTCCGTAATATATTTGCTATGAGCATGACTTAGATGATGAGAACAATTTTCTTAGCTTTTTGGTGACATATTTTCTTTGGATTATCCACATCTGGCAGGGTGGTGGAAGGGGTGGATTTGGTCGTGGAGCTGGTGGCTATGGTGCAGGGCCAACTAGCTCAGATCTTCCCTGAGGTTCCATTTTTCAATATCTCAAAGTTTTGGTTGATGGAGTACTAGACTCGAGTGGACTAATTAAGATTTATTTGTGAGACTCTTTTATATGCTAATGGATTTTGTTGCGAGACTGTTTTAATATTTCTACTTTCTCCATTGCTGGTGTATCAGGAATTTTAAGAAAAACTATTTCTCAAGCATATTTCCATACATTTTTCCAGATGTCTGTTACCTTTCAAAGGTCGAGGAAAGATTTGTCACTTTATCTGCTCCTATGGAATTGGAAGTATGCTGAAGATCCCAAGAAAATACAAACTACGAATAAAGCGATAACTCAATTCTGATTAGTAAGTGGAATCAATTGCCATCATACCGTTATTTTCTAACTTTATTCTCTGACTACCATCCTTTTTGCTAGATGGTAGAGGGAATAAGGTTGAAACAACAATTAGAAGCAAATCGGGATAATGATAGAGAGGGAAAACCGTTGGAAAATAAATTGGATATTGATAGTGGGAATTAGTGTGTGATCTTGTGTAATGTTTAGTCGTGTGATTATTGAATCTCTCTTATGGTCTTGTAGTATGTGGCACACTGCTACAGCACTCTTCATGTTGCTACTCTGAAGTTTCTATAAGATTTGCTACTCTGTAACTCCTACCATGTTGGCGTCTCTAATTTGTTCATGTATCCCTTCCACAACTTCGTAGATAAGTTTGCTTTCCGGATGCTTTGTTTCACCTACCATAAATCTGACCATATCTCCTCTCACCTCCACACTGCTCCATCCTCCTTCGTCCACAAGTTCTTCTGATACCCTAATTTCTGCTCTTAACTTTGCTGCATCTTCCCATCTACCAGCACTCGCACAAACATTTGACAACGCAACTCTCCACACCTTGCTCTTTGGTTCGAAAACAGAGAGCTCCTTTGCTGCCCTTTTTGCTACCTCAATATCACCAAGGAGCGTGCAAGCCCCCAACATCGTTCCCCACACATCACGACCTGGCATCACTGGCATTGTCTCTATGAAATTTTGTGCCTCTTCAAGTCTCCCCGACCTCCCCAAGAGATCCACCACGCAAGCAAAATGTTCCATATTTGGCTCTACACCATAGACTTTACCCATGCAGTTAAAAATTTCCAAACCTTCGTGTACTAATCCTGCATGGGCACAGGCACAAAGAACGTTAGTAAATGTAATACCATTTGGTTCGTAGATCCCTGATTTCTTCAGTTCTGCAAAAATCCGCAAAGCTGATGATCCATTCCCATTGATTCCATATGCTGCAATCATTGAATTCCAGGAACCCAGATCTCTTTCTTCCATCTCCTCGAAAATTTTCGCTGCAAAATTGATCCTCCCTGATTTTGCATACATATCTATCAGGGAATTTTGGACAAAAATGTATTGAAGCATTCCTATTCTAGTTATATAACCATGAATTATTTCACCCATAAGCAAAGAAGACAACTTTGAACAGACTTGAATGGACATAAGCATTGTAATGAAATCTGGGAAGACATTGTCTCTCGCTCCTGTGGCGTGGATCATACGAAGAAGACTTAAAGCTTCAGCCAATTTTTCATTCTTTACGAGGCAGGTAATCATGGTATTCCAAGAAATTAAGTCTTTATTGCTCATCCCTGTAAAGACTTGATAAGCATAATCAACTCGGTCATTTTCTCCATACATGTGAATGAGAGAATTTTCAACAACAGTGCTAGGCAAAAATCCATGCTTGATCAAATATCCATGAATTTCTTCCCCCAGATTCAAGCAGCAAGAGTGGGCACACCCTTGAAGAAGGGTAGCTATGGTCTCTGGACCAACATACGCTCCTTCGCCAGTAAAACAGAAGCCGCAATAGACTTTTATGCCTTCTTCAAAATACCCATTGGTAGAGTACATCTCAACTAGAGAATTCATCACAAGAGCATTCCTATACCACTCTGCTTTGATAATTATTCCATGAATCCATCGAAAAATTTGCCAATTGTTAATTTCAGAGCATGCCTGTAAGATGCTTAAAATTGTTACCTCATTTGGCATGACCCCATCTTGTTGCATCCGGGAGAACAGTATGAGAGCCCTCTCCACCATTCCATTATATACACATCCTGAAATAACTGTAGTCCAAGAAACCACATCTCTGCAACTTAATTTCTCCAGCAGTTTTTCCGCAGCTGCCAACATACCCGATTTCGCATATGCATCTATCAAAGAATTTTGCAAGAAATTGTCCGCGATGAATCCATATTTAATCGCATAACAGTGAATAGTCTGGACGAATATCGAATAACCCTTGGTTGCGCAAGCCTGTAGAAGCACTGCCAGTGTGTATTCATTAGGCTGTAAAATCTCCAGCATCTCTAAAAACAAAGATATTGCCTTATCAACCAGACCGTTACAGTGATAACCCGACATCATGGACGTCCACGATACAACAGTCCTGTTAGGCATATACTCAAACAGTTTAGCAGCATCTTCAATCTGCCCACATTTTGTATACATGTCAAGAAGAGAATTGCCGACGAAAACATGCCCGTGAATCCCCAACTTAAGTATTTTTGCATGAATGCAATAGCCTAGTTTTAGGCTTTTTCGTTGGGTGCATATGCGCAGTGAAGTTACAGCATCAGTGTATACGTCTTGAGATGGCAGAAGAGTCAGCGGTGTTAACTTCTGTTTGGGCTCAACTAGTGAAGTTCGCCTGAGAGGGTTTTCGTTATCAAAGACAAGGGGTAATCTAAAGGGCTGCAGCTGGAAAGAATGCATCTGGAGACAAGTCTAGACGACAACAACAACTATTTGTTGATGGGTTTTCCTGCAATTCATTAAATTCGACATCAATCAGGAAAACCCATCATTTATTTTCTGGATTCTGTAAAACATTGGGTATGCAAGCACCAGTTACCAACACACCCACCCACCAAATTGTACTATCAATGTTATAAAACAGATGTAGCCTAATTCAAGGGTGAAATTTAAAATTGAGAGTGTAATTTGAGCTTGAAATGAGGTCATATTGCATCTGTTTTATAACATTATGGGTATAATTTAAAATTTTAATTTTTTAAAAGTACAAACTGAGGATTGATGCATCTTTCTTTTATAGTGCAAAATGAGGCCTGGTGGACTGGCTCTTGTTTCAACTGGGTCGGTGAAACATAATTATCTCAGACCGATTCTTGGTCAATTGAATATATATTAATGTATGGCGAATTATATTTTGTATGCTAATAGATTTAAGAATTTTTATTTTATACCTTTAAATATTAAATTATTTATATTATACCCTTAATATATTAAAATAATTATTATATGATCCTTCTGTTACTTTCTGTTCTTAATTTCGTCAAATTCTATAGAGTAATTTTTAAGAGAATAAATAATGAAAGTTACCAGAAAAGTAATATTATAATATTTTTAATACATTGTAATATAAAAAATATAATCTTGAGGGTATAAAATAAATTTTTTTAAATCTTTGACACCCAAAAGTGGGATTACCAGTAAACACAATGGAAATTGAAGTTTGAAAGAGACCTCTGAACTTTGGGTTAAAATAAAGGGTTAATTGCGCATTATATCTCGAAAGATCATTCGAATCTTAATTTTTACCCTCAAAGATAAAAAATTACAATTTATACCCTTAAAGATAGAAATTTATATCAATGTGTATCTCTAAGGATCAAAAATCTTAATTTGCACCCCTCAAAGATAGAAATTTGTATCAATGTACACCCCCAAAGATCAAAAATCTCAATTTAAATCCTCAAAAATAGAAATTTATATCAACATGCACCTAAAACTAACTGCCGTCAATTTGTTGCCTGGAATTAATTGATAAATTATACTTAGATCCCCTCATACTTGTCACTTAATTATGTGGATCCCTTCACAAAATAAAGAGTAATATGAAATTATAATTTTTATTATGATAAAATTATATTTTTAACGGTTATAAAATCCTAATAAAAATACTCTCAATCTAAAATGTCCCCCCAATTGGGCATTTAAATAATTATGTTTAAATGATATATTGCATTTGATATAAAAAAATAGTATATAAATACCTACATTCTATTGGACATTGAAATGATAAATTTAATTTTGAACTTTAAAGTATATCGGACCCACAAAATAAAATGTAATATAAAATTATAATTTTTTATTAGGATAAAATCATATTTTTTAATGATTATATTAATAGATATCAACTAAAAAGAGTTACGTGTTATATGTGTACAAACGTTATAAGATGTAGGAGTAATATTCTAAATATGAAGGGGTTCAAATGATTAAGTGATAAGTATGTGAGGATTTATGTATAATTTATCAATTTAATTTAGGCAATAAACTAGCAGCGGTTAGTTTTAGGTGCACATTGATATAAATTTTTATTTTTAACGGTGTAAATGAAGATTTTTAATTTTTGAGAGTGCACATTAATATAAATTTTTATCTTTGAGTGTACAAATTAAAATTTTTGATCTTTGGGGTATAATTTATAATTAACCCTAAAATAAAATTTCACATAGAGTCGGTTTCAACAGATATATGCGTAAGCAGTGACACCACAGCTTCATAAAAGTCTTCTTCCCCCAGATCAGATTGCCTAAACCCAATACTGCATTTCCATTACGGCGAGAATAGAGGAAGCTCCGTCAAATCCGCCGGCTGGGTTAGGTGAGTTCTGTATATTTCCAGATCGTAGATAGAGCTTTTATTTGGGTGGGCTTAACAGACATGTCTATGGAGATGAGTTCAGCTTCACAACCAGCAAGCACTGCGGCTAACATTGAAGGAGTGCTAACCCATGGAGGTCGATACGTCCGGTACAATGTGTACGGTAACTTGTTTGAGGTCTCCTGTAAATACGTCCCTCCTATACGCCCCATCGGTAGAGGTGCTTTTGGCATTGTCTGGTGCTCTCTCTCTCTCTCTCTCTCTCTACATATATCTATATATATATGTGTTTGTGTACATTCATGTACTGTAACTTTTTTGGTTGCGGGGAAGGGAAGGGAAGGGAAGAGGAGAGAAATTTAAAAGGATGAAATTCTGGGAAAAGAAGGGAAATACATTTCTTTTATCTTTTTTGATGGGAGAGAAAGTGGAGGGAAATTGAAACAAGGGAAAGTAAGAGGGAAAAGAAACTGGAAAATTCTCAAAAGCTTCCTCTTGATTTTTGTTTCCTTTCTTTTGCTTGGTATAGGAGAGGAGAAGTGAAAGGAAGGGAAATAGCTTCTTACCAAAAAACTGGAAAGAAAATGAAAATTCTTTCTGTTTTTTGGTTGGAGGGAATGAGGGAGGAAATTAAAGTTTCCCTTCCCCTGTTTCATTCCCGAAATTTGCTCTCTTAGTTGAATAGTTTGCTTTTTCTATCTGTGTTTTGGTTTTATTTTTCTTTTATTTCTATCCATCATTGGTGATAAAAGAGATGTCTAGATTTAGCTGTTTTCAGATTGTCAGGGTGTGTATCCAAGACATAAATATTTTTCAGGTGGTAAGAAAGGACCACCGAGCATATACGAATTGATCTTTATGCCAGTGCAGGTATAATAAGGCTGGGGTGGACTAACTGAAACAAAATTGCTCTAGAGAGAATCTTAAATAAAAGCAAAATTTCCAAATAAATTCAATTCATTTTGTCAGCTGAAATTTGCTACATAATTGATATCGATCTATCTATGACAGTCACTTTCTACAATCCCCCCTATTCGTCTGCACTATGGAGACGGTAAGGTGCCTGCTATTTGTGGAAAATGATTGTGCCCTTTTAGCATAATTGCACCATGGTGCTGTGATGGCACTTGTATCCAATATCAGCTCAGCAATATCAATTTGATATACTGAAAAATAGTTGGTATCATAGTTATAGCATTTGCCCTCTGTTCCAAACTTGAAAGAGTCAGTATTGTTGCTTTTGTCATTTTTCAACATGCTTCCTTGCTATTTGTCCAACATTAAAAATTTGTTCTTTTTGTCTCATTTTTTATAGACTCTTAAATACAAGAAGGTAGTTCAATTGACTGGGACCACCACATGACATGGTTTCGTCGTGATCCTGATCAATGAGGGAGCACATTGGCATGAATTGGGATGTGACCTCCTCAGAATGGTCAGAACTTGACCTCATGCCCCACTTTATCCTTTTGTTCTCTTCTCTTGGCTGGGTCCACGACGTTTCCCATGATGACATTGTGGCATTGGAGGGATTTGGAACGGATCCTACACTTATTTTAGACTACTAAGCAGCTTTTAAATCCAAAAAAAAGTTCAATGTCACATATAACGTGTGGAAGATGAGATACTTTCTTTTCTATTTAGTGCTGCTGTGAATTCGGATACACATGAGGAGGTTGCTATAAAGAAGATTGGTAATGCATTTGACAACAGAATAGATGCCAAAAGGACATTGAGAGAGATTAAGCTCCTTCGCCACATGGATCATGAAAATGTAAGTTTGATCTTCAGCACATTGTTACAATATTACTTGACTTGATAGTTGAACTGTGTAAAGTTACAATATATTTGTGCTCGGCTAGGAAAATGTATTCTCACAAGTTTTTTTGAACTAGTCCCTCCAACAAAGAATTAAAATGCCTTGCGGTGTGGAACTATTACAGAATAAAATGATCTGAAAAGTTTTCATCTTAAGCACGCCATTTTTAGAACTCAAGTGTACCTTCTTCCTATCAACCACGACAGTTTACATTAGATGTGTTGCCAGTGAACCCATGGACCTAGATGACACGCATGTGAGAATTTTTTCTTTCCTTCTTTGCTAAGGGGTTTATGAATTTAGCTTAGGCATACCTTATAACTGGAAGAAAATGCTAAAATTCAGTCTAAGGTGTGACTTATTATTGTGCGCAATATAAGCTGAATCGTCACATAGCATCACATTCTTTTTGATTACTTATTGTTGACAAAAACTAGATTTGAACTTTTGAAGAAACATATGGCAGTTGCCATGCTATTTTTCTTTGTTTAATTTGTTGGTTTACCTTGATGTGATTGACAATCAATTTGGGCTCTACCATTCCAGTAATGCTCAGTTATTTTACTGCCACAGATTATTGCTATCAAGGACATCATACGACCTCCAAAGAAAGAAGCCTTCAATGATGTGTACATTATCTATGAATTGATGGATACCGACCTTCATCAGATAAACTGTTCAGGTCAACCATTGACAGATGCCCACTGTCAGGTTTGACATTGACAACATTAAGGGTTTTGTGTTGCTACTCTTTTTTTTGGCTTGAATGTTTGTAGTTTATCTGAATCATTGCTAACTGTTTTCCTCGGCTTTCTTCTACCTGTAAGTGGGTTTTGAGATGAGAGCAAACCCCGAACATTTCTTTCCGTTTCTTGCTGAATTGTAATGACAGTTTCTGAAAAAAGTGTGTAAAATTTGAAATGGTTTACTACATAATTCAACAATCGCCACCCAGTTCAGAGAAGAAACTAGGTTATTAACTCCTTGGCATTGCTGCAAGTCTCATAATCCTGAGATTGTAGATCTTATCCTGGTGTAGTCAGGTCAAAAATAAGTTTGTGAATATAATTTTTTTTTCTTTGCATAACGGCAGTTGAAGCATAGTAGCAGCAGCTGTATTTTTTATTGCATCCTGACTATGGAAAAACTACTATTCTTGTCGTGAATGTACCTGTGACTTGTTAGCACCTGACTTGTGGGCGAAATTGTAATTGATTGATTTGTTTTGCAGTACTTTCTCTATCAACTCTTACGAGGATTGAAGTATGTACATTCGGCAAATGTCTTGCACCGTGACCTGAAGCCGAGCAATTTGTTTCTGAATGCTAATTGTGACCTTAAGATAGGAGACTTTGGGTTGGCTAGGACAACTTCTGAAACAGATTTTATGACCGAGTATGTCGTCACTCGGTGGTATCGAGCACCAGAGCTACTCCTTAACTGTTCAGAGTACACTGCCGCAATTGATATATGGTCTGTTGGTTGCATTGTTGGTGAAATAATGACCAGACAACCTTTGTTCCCCGGAAAAGATTATGTTCATCAGCTTAGGCTCATCACAGAGGTATCTATTTTTTTATTCTGATTTGTATGGGGAGTTAGTTTTGAGGGATCTCTGCTATATTCTTCCAAAATCCATGAAGGCAACCTCTTAGTTTTTATAGGTGGAAAAGTATATATTGAAATCTTTTGACCTACCTGTCCCCCCCCCCCCAAAAAAAAAA